CCTTCCTTCCTTCTCTTTCTTTCTTTCTTTCTTTCTTTCTTTCTTTCTTTCTTTCTTTCTTTCTTTCTTTCTTTCTTTCTTTCTTTCTTGATAGAGTTTCTCTGTGTAGTTTTGGTGCCCATCCTGGATCTCACTCTGTAGACCAGGCTGGCTTCAAACTCACAGAGATCCACCTGACTCTGGTCTCCCGAGTGCTGGGATTAAAGGCGTGCACCACCACAGCCCTGCCAGGCTGCCTTTTCTTAAAGTGTCGACAGCCTGACCCAGTTTCCAGAAGCCAACTATGTCGCTCAGATGGTACTGGAGGCCTGGGGCCCCTGGGGAGCAGAGCTCTGTCTGTACTACTTGGGTCCTTTGCCACCTTCCCTGCGAAGGTATCTCTCTGCTTCCTCCGTGGGGCTAAGTGCTGCCTGGGCATCTTGGGAGCACCTCAGATCCCTGTCCAGGCCTCGACTCTTGCTCAGCCCTCTCCAGGTAGCCAGTGCAGTTACGTGGTGGATGGGCTGGGGGCTGGGAGATGTCATGAGTTTCCTGTCCCCACTTCCAGCCTCCCCAGGCCTGCCTGTCACCCTGCTGAGTCAGCAGGCAGCTGGGAGGACACAGAGTTGCAACACATGTGTGTGAGAAAATACATATCAGATCAAACTTACTCTTCTGTCTTTAGGTGTACATTTACACGGTTCCGTAGCCATCACCACCGTCTATTTCCAGAATTTTCTCCTCATCCACAATTTCTGTACCCATTAGCTACATCCTTATTCTCTACTACTCTCCCAGCCCCTGGTAACATCACCCCATTTTCTATCTCTAGAGCATACATTAACTTGAGCAATGCAGTATTTGCCCAGTACGTCATAGAGCAAATGTCGGAACGGCACCCGTCCTGACTAACATTTTACTATACACTTGAGCACACCTCTCTGTCCATTCCTCTGTTGATAGGTGCAGAGCTCTTGCTGTCCTCTGGGGACTAAACGACACTGCTGTGGACGTGATTTAGAAGTGTCTCTTTGGAGCCTTGCTTCCATCACTACAGGGGATAAACCCAGGTGTGGGGTTACTGCCCCATTCCATAATTCTATCCTGACTTCTTGAGGAAGCCTCAGCCTCCCACACTGCTCCATTTTACATCCTACTAATGATGCATGGGGCTCCCACTAAACGGGGCTCCCATTTCTGCATACCCACCTCAACAGTGTTTCGTCCTGTCTTTTCATTAGTAGCCATCACAGAGGTGAGAGCTCACCGGTTGTCCTGTGTGTATGCGACATATTCACGTGTTTGTCGACGTCTGTCCAGGAGCGGGACACTGTGTGTCCTCTGCTTTCACTTTACACTTCATTCCCAAGACAGGATCTCTTACAGCTGAGCTGGCTGGCCAGCAAACACCATCCGTCCTCTGTCTCTGCTCCAGCCCATGCTGGGGCTGGATGCATGCCCACACCTAGCACAGGTACTGTGCCATCTCCCCAGCCCTTACTGTGGTTTTGACTTGTGTTTTGTTTTTTCATTTGTTTACTGGCCACCAGTGACCATGTCTTCAGTGAAAAGTGTCTATTCAAGTCCTTTGCCCATTTTCCTAATTGGGTTCTTTGATTTTGGAGAAGGCTAGGCTATTGTCAGACCTCTCTACATGTTCTGGATATTAATCCTCAATAAGTGAGTCTCAAATATTTTCTCTCATTCTCTGGCTGTCTTGTCTTCATTTCTCTGCACAGTAATTTTTGACACACACAAAATCAAGTCCACCTGTCTTAGTTGGGGTTTCTATTGCTACAACAAAACACCACAACCAAGAGGCAAGTTGTGGAGAAAAGGGTTTATTTGGCTTACACTTCCACATTGCTGTTCGTCACCAAAGGAAGTCAGGACAGGAACTCAAGCAGGGCAGGAATCTGGAGGCAGGAGCTGATGCAGAGGCCATGGAGGGGTGCTGCTTACCGGCTTGCTCCCCCTGACTTGTTCAGGACCACCAGCCCAGGGATGGACCACCTGCCGAGGGCTGGGCCCTCCCCCATTGATCACAAATTGAGAAAATGCCTTACAGCTGGATCTCATGGCGGCATTTCCTCAACAGAGGCTCCTTCCTCTCTGATGACTCTGGCTTGTGTCAAGTTGACACAAAATCAGCCAGTACACTGTTTTCCTATTTCCCCCTTTTTTCTTTTCTGAAACAGGGTCTACCTCTCTTGCCCACACTGGCCTCAAACTCACCATCCTCCTGCCACGGCTCCCGGAATGCTGGAAATACAAAGCACCCCACTGTGCCTAGCTTCTAATTCAGGAAAGCACTGCCTGACCCAAAGCCACAGAGATGTTACCTAGGTTTTCTTCTAGGTGTTTCTTATGTGTGGTGCCTGCAGAGCTGGCCCTCTTTGGCACAGGACTTACTTCTTGTGCATGGCATACCATAGGCAGTTAACTCATGTTTGTGGGTGTGAACACGTGTCATGCAGAGAACCCTGTGCCACCTAACACACGAAAGTTTCCTTGCCACCTCTCTAGCCAGACTCTGAACTCCAAGGACCACACACTCCTGTCTCCATCGCCGAGAAGATCTTGTGAGTCGGGGGCTCTAAACTGTCGTGGACAGGTCCTCAGGCCTAGGTCCGCAGAAATGGGTGAATGCCAAGAAGAAGGAAAACACAGAGACTTCTCTGCTGTGGCCACAGAGACTCACTCCAGAGGGGAAGTTACAGATTTGTGCAGCATCCTGAAGGCTGAGTAAGATTTCTGCAAGCAAAGATCATTTATGATGGGGGTTGAGCTGGGCAGCTAGGGAGCCAGTGAGGAGGCAAGACTGGTTCCGGGGTGAGCCTATGAAGTTCAGAGAAAGGGGATGCCATTGTGAGGTAAGAAATGGAGGTCTTTCAAATCTCATGGGCAATGAGGTACCACAGAAGCTTTTGATGACTTTTCAAAGTCAACATTTTATCAGGAGGCTGATTCTGTGAGTTTGAGAGCATCCTGAGCTACAGAGTTGAGAACTTTGTCTACAAACATGCATTTTGGAAATTCAGTCTGATCCATTCTGACCTGTAGGTGGTAAGGCTGGAAGCAGGAGATAAGGAAGTTCACTGTATTCAACTGGGTGCGCTGGAGAAAGTCACTGCGTCTCTGGACTCCAGACTCCTAGTTTGGGTAACAGGGAGGGGCGGGGGAAGAAGTAACGAGACCCAACTGTTCATTTGCCTTGGGGCTGTGTCCTTAAGGGGTGGAGTCAAGGAACACAGAAGACTTTCTGGGACATGCCACCAAGCGAGAGCATTTCTGATCACACCCTGAGCCAGGGACAAGGGCTTCTCGCTCCCTGCTGGTGGCTGCTCCAGCAGTCCTAAGGAACCCTGCCTTCCTGTTGGGTCGGCCAACAGAGCAGGTGAGATTAAACCCTGCAGGCTCTGGGACCGGAGTGCCCCGAAGAGGCCTCTGTGTGCCCAGCCAGCCTGTCATACTGCTCTCTTAGGCCGCTGAGCTCACCTGAGAACTGGTGATGTGGGTTCTGCTCTCACTGCTCCTGCTGGCCCCTGTCCTCTCCCTGGGTAAGTTGCACAGGTCTAGTGACTCTCACAGGGTCTGGCCTCTGGGGACCCGGCACGGCAGCCAGACTGTGCCTAGGTCAGATGTGGCTGAGCACACTCCATCCCTGGAGCACAGAGAGGGCCTTGCTGTGGGGTACGCTGTAGGAACAAGATGGGATTTGGGGCCTGTGTAGAGCACCCTTTCTTGGGCAGGTGATAGGGCTCTGAAGCTTCTCAGGCCTACCTCACCCTCTCCTTTGTCCTTTTCTGACCCACCTCCAGGCCAGACCACATGGGGCGTCTCCAGTCCCAAGGATATGCAGGGCTTGCAGGGGTCTTGCCTGCTCATTCCCTGCATCTTCAGCTTCCCGGACAACGTGGAGGTGTCTGATGGCATCACAGCCATCTGGTACTACGACTACTCGGGCAATCGGCAGGTGGTGATCCACTCGAGGGACCCCACGCAGGTGGTGGAGCGCTTCAGGGGCCGAGCCGAGCTGATGGGGAACATGGACCACAGGGTGTGCAACCTATTGCTCAAAGACCTGAAGCCTGAGGACTCCGGCAACTACAACTTCCGCTTTGAGATCAGTGATGTCAACCGCTGGTCAGATGTCAGAGGCACCAAGGTCACTGTGACAAGTGAGGAGGCTGAGGACCGGCCACTGTCAGGGACTTCCAGGCTATTGCTGTAACCCTATCCTTTGGCCTGGACCTTACCCAGGTCTTCGGCCTCAGCCCCTGCTCTGGTGTTGGCCTAACACTGTTTCTCTCTGTGACATTGGGGTGGGGGCGGGGGCCGGGGGGCAGTGATCATCTAAAAATTCCCCTTTCCTTGAAGTCCCCCTGACCAGGGCTCACCCTTTGATTGGGGTCTTCGGGGCAGAGGTTTACATTGAGAGGAAGGGCTAGCCCTGAGAATCGGTGTCTTTGGTTTCAGATGACCCCAGCGCTCCCACTATTACTGCCCCAAAGGAGCTGCGTGAGGGCACGGAGGTGAACTTCAACTGCTCTACACCCTACGTGTGCCTACAGAAGAAGGCCAGCCTGCAGTGGGAAGGCCAGGACCCCACTCACGCCGTCACCTCCAGTCACCAGAGCCTCGAGCCCACTGGCGTTAGTCACCAGGAGACCCTACATATGGCCCTGTCCTGGCAGGACCATGGCCGGACCCTGCGCTGTCGGTTCTCACTGGCCACGCGCAGCAGTCAGAAAGAGATTCTCCTCCAAGTGCAGCGTGAGTGTGCTGCACCCTGGTCACTGGACACCATTTCTGGGGCTCCCTGATGAAAAAAAAGCTTGCCTGGCCCCTAGGGACAGACCCTTAGTCCCAGAGCCTTCAGGTGCCTTCAGGCCTTCAGGCAGGGCCCATAGAGAGACTGATCTCACCTCACAGCCCACGCTTTTAATCCCAGTACCAGGGAGATAGAGACACATGGATCTCTGGGGCTTGCTGTCCTGGCCAGACAACCTAACCTACTTGGCAAGTTCCAGGTCAATGAAACTCTGCCTGAAGAAACAGGGTGGATGGCACCTGAAGAACAGCATCCGAGGCTGACCTGTGGCCTCCATATGTGTATATATGTATACACTCTATATCTGTGACCACTACACACACACACACACACACACGCACGCACGCACGCACGCACGCACGCACGCACGCACGCGCACACACACACACACACACGCACACACACACACTCATGCATACACACTCATGCACACATGATGGGTGTGGGGGATTCTTAGTATTCTTAGTCCCTTGCCTATACATTTTTCTGAGAGCTAATGTTTGTTGTCTGTGGTCTCCTGCCATGAAGTGGCTTGTCCCTTTCCAATAGCTACCGGAAGCCACCAAAGCAAGTAAAGCACTCATGATCGTATCGATGTAACTTATCCAAACAAAATGTGGACAGTGTTATGACACAGTGTTATAACACATGGGCCATTGATAGCCACACATTGATAGCCCTTGATAGCCACACATTGATAGCCCTTGATAGCCACACACAGGCCAAACACCACATTTTCAGAGCCTCATTGGAAAAGGAGGGAGGTAGGAATGCATTAGGGGACAGATGACACTGGTTTGGGGTGCCAACACCCTGCCACCCTCATGCACCGTACCTGACATCCCATCATGCTTTGCAGATGCCCCCAAAGGTGTGGAGATCCTCCTCAGCTCCTCAGGAAAGAACATTCTCCCAGGGGATCTGGTCACACTCACCTGTCAAGTGAACAGCAGCTACCCTGCCGTCAGCTCTGTGCAGTGGGTCAAGGATGGAGTGAGCCTCGAAGCCAATGGACGTGTGCTACAGCTGTCCTCGGCAACCTGGAATGATTCCGGGGTCTACACCTGTGAAGCGATGAATCCTGTGGGCTCTCTGGTGTCACCCCCGGTCAGCCTCCATGTTTTTAGTAAGTCCTGGATGAGGATCTACTGGAGAGCTGAGGGAACCTGGGGGCACGATACCACCAGAGGCTTGCATACCCATGCTAATACCTTCTCACAGGGGGCAAGTCAGGAGGGCCCTGGGAAGTGGGATAAAGAGACTCGGGGTGACTCCAGGAGGCTCCTGCTCTATGGGGTGGGGGTGGGGCTCTGTATAACATGTAGAGATCGAAGCTGACTGTTATCCAGAACTCTAAGGGTGTGTCCTATGATGTTCTTGCAGTGGTTGAGGTCAAGATGAGCCCAGCAGGGCCCATTTTGGAAAACGACACAGTGACACTGTTCTGCAGCATCCCCAAGGAGGCACCCCGGGAGCTCCACTACAGCTGGTACAAGAACCACATTCTTCTGGAAGATGTCCACTCCCCCGCCTTGCGCCTGCCTGCAGTCACCAGGGCCAATACCGGCTTCTATTTCTGTGAGGTGCAGAATACCCAGGGCCGTGAGCGCTCCGGCTCAGTGAGTGTGGTGGTCAGACGTAAGTAGCCAGTATGTGTGGCAGCAGATGTCACCAGAGGAGGTCCAAAGGGTGGGTGGAGTCCCTGCAAGAAGTTGGGGTATAGCATAGCATCTTCAAGACCCTTGACCCAGATGTGGACTACACAGCCAAATGGGGTTGAATGCATTCCCAGCTCTGCACCCTACACAAGGCTGACCTTCCCAGACTCAGTCTCCTCCTGTGTTTACAAGTATTTTACTTAGAAAAAAAGATCAACCCTATGAAAAGTTGTAGGAAACATTCAAAAACATTCAACGTATACTTTTAGTCTAGATTCTCTGCCTGTTGACATCATGTTGCAGGCATTGTATCTTGTCTGTGCACCTGGGTTGTATTGCTTATTCCACACACATACATGTGCACACATGTGCATATACATGTATATCATCACTTATTCTGTAGACATCTGTACACATGCACATGTTACTTACATACCTTCCTACAGGTGCATTCAGAATTATGATGGAGCTATACCACAAAGAACTTTTCTCACACCTTTAGCCCCAGAACTTAGGATGCAGAGACTAGTGGATAACTGTGAGTTCTGGGCTAGCCAGGGCTACATAGTGAGATCCTGTCACAAATAAAGAAAAAAAAATCAAAGTTGAAAAGGCATCTGTTACATCCAGGTACTGAATGCGGGAGTTAGGTTCAGTCAGCCTTAAACACGCATGCATCAGACTCGTGTTAGCTACATTCGGGTCAAGCTAGCTAATAGGTGCGTACTTCACAATTAAGTGCCAGCTAGTCTGTGACGTCACTGAATGTCTGCCTCCAAAGCCTGCTGATAGCACAATAGAACCAGGGTGCCCGTGGCTCTCCTAGGCTTGCTTCCGTATATGGCTGACCATTCAGTAGCGTGAGAGGGGGTCATACTGTAACTTGCTAGCCTAGGCAAAGACCAGCATCCCAAAGTACAGTTTATGCGGACTTTCACCCCACCATAAAGGAGAAAAATCCCGAGTGGAGCCATCGTCCATATGTATGTGCCTGGAGTTGTGTGCGCAGGGTCTGTTCACACCTCACCCTACCAGTGCTCATCTCCCAAGATTACCTTGTACGTAACTCTGACCCAAGGATCACACCAGGAAATGCGATGCCGATTCCAGACTTTAGGGGCAGCCTTTGATCCTTCCCTGTCCTTGTTGGAGGCTAACCCTTGGTTTGCAATTGCCCGAGACGTACTGGGAGGGCCACAGGCGTGACTCTCTGTTTGCCTTGGAGCATCTCATTAGGAGACTCAGGGTCAGTTTTTCCTGCAAGGCTAACGGTCCCTTCGATCACTTGGCAAAAGTGCTGCCCTCTGTCTGGACTGTTCCGGTTTTCTCATCTTTAAAATGAGGCACTGGTCAGGCATGGTAGTACAGCACTGTAATCTATCACCGGGGTGGCTGAGGCAGAAGGATCACCAGTTTGAGACCAGCTTGGTTACAAAGTGAGAACCTAATCTGGGGCCCTGTCCTCCATTTGCAGTGTGGGCACGAGGGCTAGCCTGGCTAACAGAGAGATTTGCCCATCCTGAGGGCAAAGTATATTGAGCATGTGCTCAAGAAGGTCTGAGATCACTCTGTTGCGGGGCTCCGTGGGGGCAAAGGGAATGCATAGGTCACAACAGGGGATCCAGGCAGTGACCTGTCTGAGGATGACCAGCCACCTCTGGTTCCCACACAGATCCACCCCTTGCTCCAGTCCTGACTACCTTCCTGGAGACACAGGCTGGGTTCATGGGCATCTTCCACTGCTCTGTGGTCAGTGAGCCCCTGGCCACACTGGTACTGTCTCACGGAGGTCTCACGCTGGCCTCCAGCTCTGGAGAAAATGACTTCAACCCTCGCTTCAGCGTTTCCTCGACCCCCAACTCCCTGCGCCTAGAGATCCGAGACTTGCAGCCAGCTGACAGTGGCGAGTACACATGTTCAGCCACCAACTCCCTTGGAAACTCAACTTCCAGCCTGGACTTCCATGCTAATGGTAATGTGGGCATGCACTGCAGGGGGCCACCAGTGGAGGGCTCAGGGAGGAGGCCTCTTTTTTTCCTAGCAGTCCTAAGGACTCAACTGAGGGACCAAACTCTGGCTAGGCCTCGTGGAAGACCTGAGTAATACAGTCACTCCAACCTTAGAGATTTCTGGAAGAAAAGGCATAAAGGGATATGTAGTAGATCAAATTATTTCTTTCCCACATCTTTGGCTCTGTACTTGAAGGGTCCTTTCTAGGCATCCATTTATTTTGTATTTCTTAAGTTTTGGGGGCAGGGCCTTTGCTGGGCATTAGATGTGGGAGGTAGAGAAATAGGATCCTCCAGTTATTGGAGCACACACTGCTCTGCCTTCCGAGGCCCAGGTAGGCACTAGGTGCAGGGGACCAAGCCCTGGCCTTCAGGCATGCTAGGCAGGCACTCTATGAACTGGGCTATGTCCCCAGCCCTCAAGTCAGGTAACATAAGTGGGGCTTGATGTAATCTGGGCTTCAGTACATCTGAATTGCTAGTCAAGGCCACAAAGCCCAAATGGGCATGTGAACAGAGGAGAAATCGAGGGGGCTTCTTGCAGCAGGGGACACAGGGGGCCAGGGCCCTCACAGCCAACCAAGCCTATTCTCTGTCCCTCCTCCAGTGGCCCGACTCCTCATCAGCCCTTCAGCACAGGTTGTGGAAGGGCAGGCAGTGACTCTGAGCTGCAGGAGTGGCCTGAGGCCAGCATCGGACGCTCGCTTCTCCTGGTACCTGAATGGAGCACTACTTCTCGAGGGATCCAGCAGCAGCCTCCTGCTTCCTGTGGCCTCCAGCACTGATGCTGGCTCTTACTACTGTAGAGTGCAGGCTGGCCCCAGCACCAGCGGCCCCTCCCTGCCTACTGTCCTCACTGTGTTCTGTGAGTTGACCTGGCTACTGGCCACTGGCCACTGTGTGGGATCATCCCATGGGGACCACTAGCTACCCCCTTCCATATCCTCCTGACCCTGGGGTTCACAACAGGGAGTGGTCATAGGCCTTGCCACAATGGACGTATCAACCTAGGGTGGAAGTTGGGGGAAGGAGGTAGATCTCCTTTATCGCTCCCTATGTCCTGCTCTCCAGACCCAGCCTTTGCTCCTACGTTGTACCATGGCTCTACATCCCAGCTTGTCCTGTCCTAAGATATCACAATTTAAAAGATGTGCATGCGCCCACAGGCTGAATGGCCCCTCTGTGTCCCCCAAGGGTGATGCTCCAAATGAGTCTAGGGGCTGATGATGATACAAGGGTCATACTTGAGGGCCTCCCCTAGCAAGTATGTTCATGGGTTTTCTAGTGCCTGTGTGGGATTATGTGGAGCCTGGTCTGCTAGCTGTCTTTGGGCCACGTGCTTTGAGAAATCTCTAGAATGGAATCATTTTTTTTTTAAGCACTTGCCTAGCACGTACAAGACTCTGTGTTCAACTCTAGAACCATTTAGCGACTCCTCTTGTTGCTGTACAAAAACAACATGAGGAAGTGTGTACTTGTTCTGGCTCTCAACTTGGAGTGCAGCCCATCAAGGCAGCGGAGGGCAGCTGGTCTGTGGTCAGGAAGCAGAGAGAGATGAAGGCTGACGCTCAGCTCCTTTTTATTCCGTCTGGGACCCTGGCCCATGGAATGATGCCACCCACCTTTACGGTGGATCATCCCACGTCAATTAATTCAACCTAGAAACTCCACAAACACGCCCACAGGTTCATCTTCTAGATGATTCTCGAGCCTTCAAGTTGACAGTATTTATTCACCATCAAAACCGCCAAAACCACCACAAAGCTAGAGAGGCCATTTTGAGTGATATCTAGTATGCCAGGATCAGGGTTGGGGAACAAATGAAGGGGGAATGAACTTGAAGGCATTGCTCAGTGATGGGGTGGGTGAATTAGCAGCAGTCTTGGGGACTGCTCTGAGGGTGTTCTGCTTCAGATGGGACACGCAAGGTGGCTGATAAGATAATACCTTGATTCCAGCTGGAAAATGTCACCCCTTCTGGGAAGACTCAGCCCAGCAGCAGGTCACAGTTTGAGATGTGGAGCACAGATGAATGCCAATGTCGTCTGGGTACCCTTGTGCTCTGGCTACCCCACACAGCTGTTCGTGGCTGCTTGGGGTGCTTCTTGGAGCCTAGCTGGGCTGAAATGGATGTTGGGCTCTAGCAGTAGCCACGAAATGAGTGCCTAATGCTCTTCCTCTCCACAGACCCCCCCAGAAAGCCCACATTCACTGCCAGGCTGGATTTGGATACCTCCGGTGTTGGGCGTGGCCTCCTCTCTTGCCATGTGGACAGCGATCCCCCAGCCCAGCTACAGCTTCTCCACAAGGGCCATGTTGTGGCCACTTCTCTGCCATCGAGGTGTGGGAGCTCCTCCTCACGCACAAAGATCAGCAGAGCCTCTAACTCACTGAGTGTCGAGATCCAGAACCCAGTGTTAGAGGACGAGGGCATGTACCTCTGTGAGGCTAGCAACACACTGGGCAACTCCTCTGCCTCAGCCACCTTCAATGCTAAGGGTAAGGAGTAGAGAAGGGCTGAGGGAGCTAAACCCTGAGCTCAGACTACCCCTGCACTGAGGCAAAACAACCTCTATCCACAGTGGGAGGAAGCAGAGGGACCTTCAATGTCCCTCCCTCCACATCAAGGGAGGGGGACCGTCCTGGGACTTCAAGGCTCACCTCTGAGAAAGCACAGAGGGGCTGCCTATCCCTCCATGCCTTTTCCATGCCCCTCTACACCCCCACGTCTTATTGGCTTTCCTCTCTATCCTTCCCTGCTCAAAGTTGGAAACCCAAGCCAGGGCCAGGGTGGGCTTTAAGTGAGGCTCACCAGAGAGAGACCTGTGTCCAGTCAGCCCCTGCTGCTTATCCTTCAGCCACTGTCCTGGTCATCACGCCGTCGGAAACGCTGCATGAGGGCACAGAGGCCAACTTAACTTGCAATGTGAGCCAGGAAGTTGCTGACAGCCCTGCCAACTTCTCTTGGTTCCGGAATGGAGTGCTGTGGACCGAGGGACCACTGGAGACTATAAGGCTGCAGCCCGTGGCCAGGACCGATGCTGCCATCTATGCCTGCCGCCTCCTCACTGAGGATGGGGCTCAGCTCTCGGCTCCTGTGGTCCTAAGTGTCCTGTGTGGGTGATGGTTAAGGGCATCACAGCTTGGAGGGCAGAGGGGTCGGGGTGTGTGTATTAATGGGCCAGGAGGGCAGAGGAGCCTAGGAGGCAGGAGGACCTGAAGGGTGGAAGGACCTAGGGGTGGAGGGACCTGGGGGTAGAGGGGCCTGAGGGCCACAGGGTTGGGGTTGGGGGCCTGGGGAGATAAATGCCAGCCTAGAATGACCAGATGGGCCTATGGAGAGGACACACGGTAACAGGTAGAATGTAGTGAGATTGGCTAGAGTAGCCTGAATAACTACCCCTACTCTGGTTCATGCAGATGCCCCAGACCCTCCAAAGCTGTCAGCCCTCCTGGATGTGGGTCAGGGCCACATGGCTGTGTTCATCTGCACTGTGGACAGCCATCCCCTGGCTCACCTGTCTCTATTCCGTGGGGAGCATCTCCTGGCCACCAACTTGGAACCGCAGCGTCCATCCCATGGCAGGATCCAGGCCAAGGCCACAACCAACTCCCTCCAGTTAGAGGTTCGAGAACTAGGTCTTGAGGACTCTGGAAGCTACCTCTGCAAGGCCACGAATGTTCTTGGATCAGCCAACAGTTCCCTCTTCTTCCAGGTCAGAGGTAAGTGTCAGCCCTCTGACACTAGGCTGGACCCTGAGATCTAGAACTGCTCGGGTCAGACACTGCTGTGAGGTCCATGCAGACACTTTGGTGTGCAGTTTGCAGCCTTCCCAGGTCTCCCTGGACTTCCACTATTCCCACCTGCACTAACTGCCCATAAGGAAGCAGAGGTAACAGAGCAGGTGGCTTGTTTCGGCTGGAGCCTGCCCCTCCCTCTCTCCCCTCCTGATCTTTTGAGACAGGGACTCTCTGAACTCACTATGTATCCACACCAGCCTCAGACCCCTGCCTCAGCTTCCTGAGTGCTAAGATTACAGATGTGAGCTACCATGCCCAGCTGGTTAGAGAATTTTCTAACATAACTTACTTTGTAATGTAATTGTGTTTCATTTAAACATTCTCATATAAAATCCAGTGCATGCATGTTATACATGTGTATCTGTATACATCTTCTCACAAATGATATATTCATCTTCTTTATTCATATATGTATAGATATATACATATATTCATATATGTATAATATATTCATATATTACTTATATGTATACATATATGCACATGTATCCTCCATAGAAAGTCTCCCAGAACAGGCATCCATGGTGGCACACACCTGTAAGCCAGGCATTTCAGGAGGCAGAAGCAAGGAGATAGCAAGTTCAAAGTCAGCCTGGGATACATATGTCTCAACAAAACAACACAAAAAGTCTATGTAGGCAAATACACCAGAAAAAAGGAAAGATAGTGTCCATAAGGCCAGGGCCAAAGAGACATACATACTTCTCTCAGAATGTGAAGCAGTCACAATTTGGGACGTTTGCTTTGGTTCTGTCTGTCTTTTCTAGCTTATTACGTCCATTTCTTAGGCAGAGAGACTGAGGGTCGTGGGAGCCCTCTTGAAGGAGCAGGAACAGCAGCCTTGCTGACTGTGGCTAGTTTAGTTCTGGTCGGCTTTTTTCACTGCTCTGATCGACCCCCCCCCCCACTGCCTGACCCCTGATTCCTCTGTGCCTACTTCCCACTCTCCTGGCTGTCATGACCTACATCGTGGGCGAAGAAGGACTTGGCCAGAGAAGGCTGGGACAAAACCGCTGCTGTCAGCCTTCAGACCCTAGGCTACCCATGCTGAGTTCAGTTTAGATCGGTTCGGTGGCCCTCAGCATGACCACCCCCCTCTGGCAGTGCTTGTGTGGCCAAGCCATCCTTTCTTAGGGCTAACACATGGAGGTGGTGTGCCAGGTTCTGGTTGTGGACATATAAGCTCCATTCTGCTAAGGCTCACCTGCCACAGAACAAAACCCAAACTTCAAATGTTGCATAATGTTAATCCCAACCCTCAAGAGATCACCATAAATTCCAGGCCATCCTGGGCTACCTACTGAGTTCCAGGCCAGCCTGAGCTATAGAGTAAAACTCTCTAGAAAAAAACAAAACAAAACAAAACAACAGATGAACCAACTCATAGCAAACCAAAGCAGAGATCCACACGCCAGGTGGTGAGAAGGGTCAGGACCAGGCGGATTCAGGGAAGAAAGGATCAGGAAGACAAAGACCCAGAACTGAGGGAGCCCTGGTCAGCTGCAGATGCGGGACTGGGCCTCTCCACTTCTGGAGACATAAACAGTGCAGACAATGGGAGACAAGCCCTCATCTGCCCTGTTTTCTCCTCACAGGAGCCTGGGTCCAGGTTTCCCCGTCACCTGAGCTCCAGGAGGGCCAGGCTGTGGTCCTGAGCTGCCAGGTGCCCACAGAGGTCCCCCAGGGGACCTCATACCAGTGGTATCAGGACGGACAGCCCCTCCAGGCGTCAACCTCATCCACACTCCGCATTGCAGCTATAAGTCTGAGGCAAGCTGGTGCCTACCACTGCCAAGCTCAGGCTCCAGACACAGCTACTGCCAGCCTGGCCGCCCCTGTCAGCCTCCATGTATCCTGTAAGGCTGGTTCTCACTCATGTGGGGGAAGGGAGGTGTTCCACAACAGACCTTGTATGAGGGACACCCTAGTCACTTCCTCCTGACCCTCCTCATCTGATGTAGACACCCCACGCCAGCCCACACTCAGTGCCCTGCTGAGCACAGGCCCCGCACGACTCGGCCTCCTGGTGTGCAGTGTACGCAGTGACCCTCCCGCTCAGCTGCGGCTCTTGCACCGGAAGCGCCTCGTGGCCTCTACCCTCCAAGGCCCAGAGGAGCCGGCGAGCAGTGATCCCCGGCTGCACGTGACTGTGAGCACCAATGAATTGCACCTGGAGATCCACTCTGCAGGACTGGAGGATGATGGCACCTATACCTGTGAGGCCACCAACACACTGGGCCAGGCCTCTGCTTCAGCCGACTTCGATGCCCAGGGTCAGTGTGGAAGAGCACAGGAAATGCAGTAGGTCCTAGAAGCCCAGGAGCCGAAGCACAAGCCCCACCCCTATGCTAATTGGGGGTGTGGTTTCTGGACTTGGGGTACAAGAAAGGCCTTGTTTAAAAACTGGGTGCCCAGTGCATAAAACTAACCAGAAAAAGGCATCTCAAGAGACACCACAGCTGTACAGGGAGCCCTTTTCACCCATTTGCCAGGGAGGGGCTTGGGACTAGCTGGGTTTTGAAGAATCCCCAGGTTCAACCTATGAACTCCTTTAGCAAGAGTGTTCCTGGGGCCGGGCGGTGGTGGCGCACGCCTTTAATTCCGGCACTCAGGAGGCAGAGGCAGGCGGATCTCTGTGAGTTTGAAGCCAGCCTGGGCCACCAAGTGAGTACCAGGAAAGGCGCAAAGCTACACAGAGAAACCCTGTCTTCCCGGGGATTTTGGCGTATCTCAGTAGCAGAGCTGACTGGCCCGTGTGGAGACACAGCTCTAAGACCCTCGCTTGTGACTTCCTCCTTTCTCCAGCTGTGCGTGTGATGGCGTGGCCCAATACCACTGTGCAGGAGGGGCAGCGGGTGAACCTGACCTGCTTGGTATGGACCACCAAGCAGGACCCACTCAGCTACACATGGTACAAGGGTGGGCAACAGCTCCCTGGTGCCCGTTCCATCTCTCTGCCCAATGCCACAGTCGTAGACGCTACTTCCTACCGCTGTGGTGTGGGGCTCCCTGGCCAGGCACCTCATCTCTCCAGACCCGTCACCCTGGATGTCCTCTGTGAGTCTGGCTGGGCGTGGGCAGTGAGTGACAGGAGCTCACAGGGTGTGGGAGAGCCCCCTAGTGTGCAGCCCAAGAACTCAACTACTAGCCAGCTGTGGAGCGCTGGACAAGGGACCTTCGGAGTTGTGGGGAGGCCGGGTGGTGGTGGCGCACGCCTTTAATCCCAGCACTCGGGGAGGCAGAGCCAGGAGGATCTCTGTGAGTTCGAGGCCAGCCTGGTCTACAGAGCGAGATCCAGGACAGGCACCAAAACTACAGAGAAACCCTGTCTCAAAAAAAAAAAAAAAAAAAAAAAAAAAAAAAAAAAGGTTTCGGGGGGATGGGGACAGGTCCTCTGCCTTTCTAGGCAGAGGAGCAGAGGCCCTGACTGGACAGTAGGGAACTCTCCTGCAAGCTGGCCTTTCTCAAGTCTGCTTCTGAACTCTGTAAACGCTTCCTGGATCTCTACAGATGCTCCCCGAAGCCTGCGGCTGACCTACCTCCTAGAGACCCAGGGCAGGCAGCTGGCCCTGGTATTATGTACTGTGGATAGTCGCCCACCCGCCCAGCTAGCTCTCCGCCGTGGCGGCCACCTTCTAGCCTCTTCAACTGAAGCCTCTGTCCCCAACACCCTGCGCCTGGAGCTTCGGGACCCAAGGCCTAGCGATGAGGGTCTCTATAGCTGTTCTGCCCACAGCCCATTGGGCAAGGCCACCACATCCCTGGAGCTTCGGCTAGAAGGTGAACTAGGGCTAGACCAAGGCTGCAGGGGAGAGAACTGCCTGGAATGTCTAGCTGGGCCACGCTGACCCTGGACTCCTTGGTTCAGGTGTACGAGTGACGATGGACCCCTCTGCTACTGTGGCCGAGGGGCAGCCTGTCACAGTGACCTGCGAGGACCCTGCCGCCCTCCCACCCACCCTCTATGCCTGGTTCCACAACGGCCATTGGCTTCAGGAGGGGCCGGCTTCCTCACTCCAGTTTCTGGAGACGACCCGGGCTCATGCCGGCGCCTACTTCTGCCAGGTGCAGGATACCCAGGGCACACGCAGCTCCCGACCTGCCACCCTGCAAGTTCACTGTGAGCGGGGGCTCCTTAGCTGCGGCTTTCCAGGGTGAGGGTGGCAGAGGGTGCTTCCAGGACCTGGTGAGGGTGGGCATGGCACTACAGAGGGCGTAGAAATGGGCGCTTGGGGAAAAGAGGGCATTAGCGATGACGATGGACATTATGGCCACAGGCTCTTGATAAGGCATAATTTTTAAGGAAGGGGACATTTGTCTGGAAACTTAGCCTCACCAACATTGGGCAGATGGGCAGTGAGCCTTGCATGCCTCGGCAGGGCCCCCATCTGTGTTCTGGCCTACCTCTAGATGCCCCTCGGGATGCTGCCCTGTCTTCCTTTCGAGACTCCAGGACCAGGCTCGCGGTCGTGATACAGTGCACCGTGGACAGCGAACCACCTGCTGAGCTGGTCCTATCCCACAATGGCCGGGTGCTAGCTGCCAGCCACGGCTCTCCATCGGGCACAGGCCACGTCCAGGTAGCCCGAAACTCTCTTCGCCTGCAGGTGCAAGGCGTGGCTGGGGGCGATGATGATGCCTATGTCTGCACAGCCCGAAACGCACTGGGCTCCATCAGTACCACCCAGAAGCTCCTGAGGGAGACTGGTGAGTGGGACAGGGGTGAGGAGGGGGCTATGTTTTGAGATTCTTGTGTTGTGGGGCTGCATCCCATGTGAGGGTCTGCCGTCCTGAAGGAATGTGAACTACTCCCTCCCTGAGAAGTCAAGTCCGCTGGGGAGGCATGGCTTCATGAAGGGGTAGGCTATCGAGGGGATGATCCAGCCCTACCATCGAAGTAAGGATGGAGTAGGTGGAGACAAATCCTGGCCTCACACACCCTTCACTGGGGAAGCCTGGGGTGGGAGCAAGACAGAGGCCCGGGATTTGGGAATCCCGGTCTGAGGGCAAGATGCAGCCTCACCCCTCAGATGACCTCTAATGCTGGAGGCACAGCCCTGCCATGGGAACCTCAGAACACAGATGTGATCGTGCTGGTTTTTATGATCAGTCTAAGGAGAGCCATAGCTCCACTGTGGAGGGCCTTGAGCCCAAGACAGATTGAGATCACCCCACCATGCACAGACCCCTGACCAATTACCTGCCCTTGTACCACAGGTATACATGTGGCCGCTGAGCCAGGCTTGGATGTGCCAGAGGGCAGAGCCCTGAACCTAACCTGCCACCTCCCTGGTGGCTCCAAGCCCATGGGCAACTCAACCTTCACCTGGTTCTGGAACCGCCATCTGCTACATACATCTCCTGTGCCCACACTCTCCTTCACCCATGTGACCCCGTCTCAGGCTGGCCTCTACCACTGCAGGGCTGACCTCCCCACTGGGGTCACCACCTCTGCTCCCGTCTTGCTCCATGTCCTCTGTGAGTATGAGCCCACCTCTGCCTTGACTCTCTACATCTCGTCGGTCTGTATCAGGTCTTGTCCTCTGCGCAGAGTAAGCACTTCACAGGCATGGGGTCTCGGAATACTAGCATCCCTACTGGCTGGCTGTGTGTGGTTGTGTATCGATGCATTCATTCTCTACCTTTGAAATGGAGGACACATTCATCCTGCCCTCCTGGGATGAATAGAGAAGATAGAGCAGCTGAGTGCCTGGTGCACAGTAGGCCATCGTTAGCCTTGGTTTTCCCACTCCATTCTTCATCTACGCCCAAGCTGTATCAATCAGCTGCTGCTTAGTCACAAGTTATCCCAAATTCACAGATCTATGGGTTATAAATCTGGGCAGGGCTCAGCTGGGCTGTTCTTGTCCCCTGGCTGCAGTTGTCTAGAGGCTCTGCTGAAATTGAACAGTCTGAGATGGCCTCACCTGGTGATTGAAGATGGGCCATACGTGGCCAGCAGGCTGGCCTGGGCTTTCCACATGGTTGTTTCAGGAAGTAGAAGAGAAGCGGCAAGATGTCTGAGATCCAGTCCCAAAGCCCCACAATGCCACTTTAGAAGTGTGTCCGCATATTCTGTGTACGTGTGTGTGTGTGTGTGTGTGTGTGTGTGTGTGTGAGTGTGTGTGTATGTGTGTGTGTGACGTGTGTATACGCATGCACCTGTTTGTGCACGTGGAGGCCACTCCACTGTCTCTATTACTCTCCACCCCATCTTTTGAGACAGGGTCTCTCACTGAACCAATTCAGCAAGCTTGGCTGTCCACAGAGCTCCAGGGATCCTCCTGGCTGATACCACAGTGCTAGGATTCTATATTTCCATGAGTGCTGGAGCTCAAAGGCAGATCATCCGCATGTTTATACAGCAACCACTTTACCGACTAAGGCACCTTCCCATACCCCATGATGCCACTTTTGCCTCAGGAGTGAGAAAATGAGCTCCACTATTTCACGGCTGTTACAGCAAAGTCACAGCCGAGGGAGGGATGTGTAGTGGATTTCTAGTCACCACACACTTCTCCCCACAGATCCTCCCCAGAAGCCCACTCTGACTGTGTTTGTGGAGCCTCAGGGCGGCCTCCACGGCATCCTCGACTGTCGAGTGGACAGTGAGCCCCTGGCCAGCCTCACCCTCCACCTGGGCAGTCAACTAGTAGCCTCCAACAAACCCCAGGGTGTTCCCACCCAGCCCCACATTCACGTCTCTGCCTCTCCTAACGCCTTGAGACTGGACGTAGAGGAACTGGGACCCAGCCATCAGGGGGAGTATGTGTGCACTGCCTCCAACATCCTGGGCTCTGCCTCAGCCTCGGCCTACTTTGGGACCAGAGGTGAGGAGAATGGTTCTCCCAGCCACTGGGATCACGCTGCACAAAGATTCTCAGGTCCTGCTCAGATCCCTTCTGCACCAGACAGCTTGTCTGTCTAGTCCAGACGGATTGCTTGGGCCTCCCTTGCACAGGGCTTGGAGATGAAGTGAAAGTTAAAATCAGTTCTGCTGTGGTTGGCTCACCTCAGGAGGGAGTGGCGGGGCCCTGAAGCCCAGAGACCTCCCTCAGCCTCTTCTTCATGTTGCAGCCCTGCACCGGCTACAACTGTTCCAGCAGCTGCTCTGGGTACTGGGATTTCTGGCGGCCTTCCTGGGCCTGCTGCTGGGCCTGGGAGCCTGGCACACGTGGAGGTGGGTCCGGAACTGGGTGGGGGATGGGATACTTCATGCTGCTTGTCTCATTTCCCCCATCGTCCCCCAAATCTTTAGAGGGAAATTTTCCCCTACAGAGCTCATGACCCTCAAATTTCCTACCCTGCCCTCTCCAAATTTGGGGGTCCCCTCCCAAATCACCTCTGCAGTTTATCTTGCAGTAGCTTTCCTTTGCTTGTGTCTGTGGTGAAGAAAGAGCTGGGGAGCCCTGAAGAAAGACAGGTGCCCCTGCTGCGCAGGGCTGTCCTGCTCTGCAGGGGGGGAGGCTGGGGAGCTGCAGGGAGGGGACTCTTACTGAGTCTGCTCTTGCCCATGCAGAAAGAGGCATTCTCATAAGATGAGTGTGAACGAGAATTCAGCAGAGATGGCCACTCATAAAGACACTATGCAGGTATCCAGTCAACATAGGTGGGCGTGTGTGGGTGTAACTGTGTCCATCTGGAATCTAGACAACATCCCCATCTAGAGGACAGCACCAGCCCCGGGGTGGTTGGGAGAGGAGCACAGGAACCCGGGTTTCCTTGGGGAACAGGGAGAGCCTTTCTGACTGAGGCTCAGAGTAGCTATGTGTTTGCTGGGTGCATGACTTGGAGGCACGCATAGCTTTATCAAGACATATTTTCTGATCCCTCTTCCTCCATTTTGAAGTCTTTCCTCCTCAAGTCGGAGCCTGCCTGTCATCTAGGCAGGAGAGGAAGGCCATTCTCCTTCCCTTAGTGTATCCCTCTTCTGTAGATGATCTCTTCCTAGGACCCCAAGTCAGTGTGGGACCTTCCTTGACCCAGGGTTTCTTTATGGGAAGCTCCTAGCTCTGGATGCAGCTACACATGGAATGCCATCTGATGCCACACCCCTGAGCTGACGGATGACTCACCTGCCCTCAGGAGGAGGAGGTTGCCACTGGCTGACACGTCAGGTGTTGTGAACAAGGTCCTGCCTGCCTCTGTACAAGCAGCATGGCAGCGTCTGATTTTCCGTGACCTGCCTGCCTCCCAAGCCTCTTGCTCCTAAGAAAAACGGATGGAGAGAGGTGGGATGGAGGTCAACCAGCTGCCGCCAGGGCTCCGAGACTGAGTCAGCCAGGTTTCCCACTTCTCTCTGTGAAGTTTTGCCTCTTTCTCTTCAAAGGCCACCTTGAACCTTCTTGATAGGTCAGAACAGCATCTGGGTCCTTGCGGACTTGCTAAGATACTCTGTACCAGACGGAATATAAGTCAGGCTGTTTTAACAGGAACTGAATAGAGTGACCTCGGTGTGACAGATTTATTTTCTCTCCTATACTGGCTGTGCTATGGTGGTATAAGATACTGGGGCTCAGGATCCTTCTCTCTTGCTTTTCTCCATCCCCCAAATGTTGCTTATGATTACGAAGCTCAGGTGACTGCAGTGAGCTTGGTCCTACAGTTTTGCCGAGTAGAAGGGCAGAAAACCAGCCTCAATCCAGAGGCAGGACACGGAGAGGAGAAACCTGGTACAGCAGGATGCTGCAGGCTGTCAGGGATGACCAAAGGGTGGTGGGGGCAGCGGGTTTGAGAACGTGTGACTTGGGAGTCTTTGCTCACATGTCCTTCCAAGGGGCTGTGTTGAAGAATGCCCAGAGAGCCTAGCTGGCTCAATCCCCAGTGGTCCAAAGCCCTTGGACCTCGGAAATAAACCTGAAATTCAAACCTAACATAATCACATGGTAAGTGTGTTAGCTCAATGGTGTTTCCAAATGTGAGCACATCCATGTAATCAAATCAAGAAACAGAGTTGCCAAGCAGGGTGGTGGTGGCGCAAACCTTTAATCCCAGCACTCAGGAGGCAGAGGCAGGCGGATCTCTATGAGTTCGAGGCCAGCCTGGGCTACAGAGTGAGTTCCAGGAAAGACTCCAAAGCTACACAGAGAAACCCTATCTCACCCCCCAAAAATCCCACAAAACAGAAATGCCAGCACCCCACAGAACCCCACTCCCATTGCCGCCCCCTGAAGTGTAGCTACTTGCTTAACTTCTAATGCTATAGGTTTGATTTTTCCTATGTTCGAGCTTGATAAAAATGGCATCATACTTTGAGAATGACAACTTCGTGAAATGATTTGCCAATGCCCATTAAGGGTAAAATATTCTTCCCTTGGCCCTGGCATTCTATTCTTGGGCATTTACTTGGGGAAAAATAAGGGCTTAGTCACGCTGAGATTTGTACTAGTATGTTCATAACAACATTATCCATCATAGCCAGAAACTGAAATAATAATCACACAACAGTATTGGGATGCTCCATGCAGATATGAGAAGCTGTACCTGCAGGTGGCCACGTGAACATGGTCCTCAAATGTTCAGTGGAGGAGCTGGCAGCTAGGATCACAGCTGTATGTAGCAGTGACTTTTCTCACTGCTGTATCAAAGCACCAGGACTAAAGCAACTTCAGGAAGGGAGGGTTTATTTTTTTTTTTTTTTTTGGCTCACAGTTAGGAGGAGGCACAGTCTTACCTTGGTGGGGAAGGTGGCAGCCAAAGTGGCTCCAGCTGTGGGGGGGCAGAAGCAGGAGGCAGCTGGTCACATTGTGTCAGTAAGGAGGCAGAGAGAGACCAGTGATGGTGCCACTGGCTTCCTACCTTTCCTCTTCCTACCCAGGCTAGGACACCAGCCCATCGGGTACTGCTGCCCACATTTGGGGTGGGTCTTCCCATCTCAGTCAAAACTCTCTGGAAACATTCTCACTGACGTGCCCTGGGGTGTGTCTCCTAGGTGACTCAAAACCCAATCAAGTTCGCAATGAAGTCCAAGGACAGGCAGAGTTAAGCAGCAGGATAGAGGTCAATACAGTGGCCACTGATGGGCGGCAGGGATTGGCAGGAGCCACATGAGTGTGTTCACTCTGTGGAAGTTTAGTGAACTGTTCATTTTCTGAACATATATATTTTGGCAAGAAGGATTGTTTAAAAAATCTGCCACTTAACCTGGGTGTTGTGCTGTGGACCTGCAGCCCCAGCCTCTCCAGGCTGAGGTGGGAGGATCCCTCGAGCCCAGGAGACTGAGACCAGTGTGAGCAGGCAACACAGTAAAACCTTAGCCCTTGAAAACAGAACAAATGGGATACGGAGATGCATGCCTTTAATCTCAGCACTCAGGAGGCAGAGGCAGGCCTGGTCTGCACAATGAGACCTGTCTCAATAACAACAATAACAACATAATAAGTAAGTAAGAAACAGAAAGCAAGGAAAGAAAAAAAATCCTCCTTTTATGTCAGATACCCAGAACCCGAGCTGCTTATCCAAATTCTGGCTGATTTCTTGGGTTTCTTTTTTTCTTTCTTTCTTTTTTTTTTTTTAATTTTTTAATTTTTTATTTTATTTATTTATTTATTTATTTATTTATTTATTTTATTTCTTGGGTTTCTAAGCACTGGTTTACCTGCCAAAGAACAAATGTTTCTCCTTGGATGTTCTGAGGTGTCAGGGATGGAGCCTTGATCGTGACTTTGGGGACTTCCATGCATGCCCACCACTGTTTCTGAAGTACCTGAGCACCAGCCTGGCGTCTCCAGGCACCACCTGGACGTTGCCTGTGAGCTGGAATGGCAGTGCCTGTCTCAGACACCGTGCTCTGGGCTATCACAGGCTAAGTCCCATTTGCAGACGGGGAGAGCACTGGTGCCCATTCTGAGCACTGGCGCAGTTTTCAGGACACTCCCTGACGCACTTTTGAGAATGACACCAACAAACATTTGATAAACCATTTTTCCATGATGTTTCCAGGCATGATCAATGGTGTTCTAGGCTCCCCCTTCCCCCGCCAGCTTTGATCCACTGTTCCCCTTCCAATTGCAACTGCAAAGTGTAAATTAATGGTTGCTTAGAGAGCTTGGCATGAAAGCCCTTGACAAGTCTGGAAATTTCTCTGGATTTAGGAGCCATATAGTTTTTCAAGAATGACTAATCTCTGCATGGCTCAGGGGCTACAGCCCTCTTGCTTGTTCTATCTATCTATCTATCTATCTATCTATCTATCTATCTATCTATCTATCTATCTATCTATCTATCTATCTATCTTTGAGATAGGGTCTTACTTTGTAGCCCTAGCTAGCCTGGAACTCTCTATAGACCAGGCTGGCCTTAAATTCATAGATATTCATCTGCCTCTGCCTCCCAAGTGCTGGGATTAAAGCTGTGCAACACCACACATGATCCGTTTTGCTTCGTATTTTTATTTTACTTTATTTTGAGTATTCCTCCTCCTCATCCCCCAGCACCTCTGGTCTTGCTGTCTCCTCTTCCCTGATGTCCCCTGAGCCTGTGGAGAATTGATACATACGCCCCATTTAGGGCTGAGCCCTTGACAGTCACTTACCCTCTGCAGTTCCCTGGCCAAGGGTGAGAGCAGCACTAAGCTATGGGTATAAACAAATATTTAGAAAGCTGATGGACGCCGAGCACAGCGGCGCACGCCTTTAATCCCAGCACTCGGGAGGCAGAACCAGGCGGATCTCTCTGAGTTCGTAGGCCAGCCTGGTCTACAGAGCGAGATCCAGGACAGGCACCAAAACTATACAGAGAAACCCTGTCTCCCCCGCCCCTCCCAAAAAAAACTGTTTAACAACATGTCCCATTTAGTGAAATAACAGTAATAGGCTCCCTTCCAGGGTCTATGACCTCTGAGCCATGGGCTTTCGACTGGGTTTACAGTACCGGGCATAGATTCTCTCCTGTGGAGCAGGCCTCAGATCCACTCAGAAAGTGATTGGTTACTCTCATAACCTTCATGTCACTATTGCCCCCACTGGGCACACCTTACCTGGTAGCTCACTACTGCAGCACTCAGGGTTCACCGCTGGGCACACTTTACCCGGCAGCATTCAGGGTTCACCACTGGGCACACCTTACCTGGCAGCTCACTACTGCAGCACTCAGGGTTCACCGCTGGGCACACCCTACCTGGCAGCTCACTACTGCAGCACTCAGGGTTCACCGGTGGGCACACCCTGCCTGGCAGCTCACTACTGCAGCACTCAGGGTTCACCGCTGGGCAATGCCATTGATGACTTTTCTCCCCCAGAAACCTGCATTGCACCTTCAGGCACTGTGAAAGTGAGCCATTAGGTCAGTTCCAGCTTGATTTCTGAACGTGCTGCAACCAAAGTGTGTTGTATATTCAGCAATATAGAGTCTCACCATCCAGTTGTTAGGCGACCAAGAGAAATGGCAACAGCCTCCCTTGTCTTATTAATGTCAACTGGGCCAAGCCTCATACCACGATGTACAGCAAATGCATTCCCAGCCATCATGGTGCTTTTGGTCTGGCAAGAGAGAGGAAATGGGCAACTAGGAAGCCATGTGAGACTCGCCATAGTGAGAGGTACCATGCAGGATTAGTTACCTAGCTTTGGTAATCAGTGACAGCTTCCAAATAAGGAGAAATCACACTCCGCCGCAGGGGCAGTGTCCCCATCCACTGAAGCTGCCATGGTGCTCTTTGAGGGGCCTGCCTTCTTCTCTGCCCCTCTGCATTCCCATTAGGCTACATGTAGAGGATTCTCCAAGTGTCTACACCGGGCTCTGCTCCACTTCCTTATCCTCAGCTTGTTTTAGGCTGAAGCTACCTAAAAGTCATCAACCAACTCTGTCAGATGGCACCTGCCTAGGGAATGGTACCACTCACAGTGGACAAGTATTCTCACTTCCATCAAACAATCAAGATAATTCCAGAGACCTGTCTCTCAGGTGATCCTAGATTCTGCCAAGTTAACAATTAACTCTAACTTTCTCAGATCCTTCCAGCAGGACAGAAGAGGCATCAGAGTGGGTCTGGACATGACAGACACCTCTGACTTATCCCTCCACTCCCCAGGCTCACCTTGCAGAAGGAACAGGGCATTCAGTGGAAGGACAGCCTCTGCTACCATCAGTATTTCTGGTGACCTCGCTTACTCATTTACAGGGAAAGGACATGCAGCCCCTCCACCTGTCTGTCCTGGAGCCCCCAACATGACCCAAGCCAGTATTGTTACCCAAAAGGCAATAATTCACGGGCAAGTGACTTACTAAGGATGTGTTCCCAGGCAGACAGATAAAGAAGGGTAACAGGCCAGGGAGGACGCCAAGGACACATGCACACGAAAGCCCTTGTAATCTTTTTGTAACAGTCTCAAATTCAGGCCCACGGACTGTCCAGTGGCAGCAGAATTGATGAAAAATGTGATTATAGTGATACAGTTGAAAACTGCTCACCTACAAGAATAAACGAGGTAAAGGCATAGGTTATCGGCTGGGTGAAACTCATGAAATGGGAAATACAACCCATGCTCCAGACAGGGGCTAATCTCCTTCCTTTATACATAGAGGTCCTTCAAACTGTGAAAACAAAGACCAACCATTCACCAGAAAAATGGGCTACAAATGTGAATGAGTATGATAGATAGATAGATAGATAGATAGATAGATAGATAGATAGATAGACAGACGTACACACACACACACACACACACACACACACACACACACACACACACACCGGTATCTAAAACAGCTTATGTAAGAAATCAGCAGTAGTGGCTTCCCGTGGGAAATGAGAATTGAAAGGTTGGAGACTGAAGAAATAGGAAGACTTTCCTAAGCATTTTATACTTTTGTGTTTGTTTTTTGGGGCAGGGTCTTGCTGTACAGCTCGAGCTGCCCCTGGAGCACTGGAATT